CTGCCGGCTATTGATTGTGACAATACGTAGCGTTATACGTCCGCAAACCACATTATGATTGCGAGAGACGCCTAGTGGAATGCTTCAGAAACATTGGTGCACCTGGTGTTCTTTAACGAGTACCAACATCGCACAGTGAGGGCCAAAATATATAATTTACGGGGAACAATATTTGGGATGTTTACTGTGCACGTATTGTCGGTGGACGTTAACGAACGACCTCCGAAATTTGCAGAACCCTTCAGTTCAACGTCTCAATCACATCGCGACACGATCATTATTGCTAGTAATGATTATCCACAAGTGTTTTCTTCACTATTAAGTAAGCAACCCTGCCTTTAAATCCGTTAGTAGATGTGTCGTACATGCGCCCTCTATCCACCAGCTAGCCATCAAGGAAGCAAGCTAGCCATCGAACGACAAACACATTTACGAAACGAATAAATGTTATTTTCAACAACGGACCCGCCCCGCTATCTTCTCGTGGTCCACGGTTAGCGAGGCGGCACCGTAAACTACTAGTAAAACCACGGTGCAAGCCGTGGGGTTGTGTCCTACGAAAGGTCACTTCGGCTCGGACATGATCATGGTTCTCGGCCGATGCTGTTCGCGTGTCCAGGAACCAGGAATGTGGTTCGGTGCCGAAGAAGCCGCTCGAAGTGCAGGCGACCCGCCAGGCTGGCTCCGGCACTGGCCGACGGGCGGTGTCGGGCGGGCAGGTGTAAGCGACGAGGAACCAAATGGTGCCTTGGGTTAGTGGCTGGGTGTTGCGGGTGACGGCGTCATCCCCCAGCACTTATTGCGTGGTTGCTGCTCGCACTCAACCCGACCTTGCACGTTCCGGTTCTCTCGGCGTTGTAGGCGCCTCTGGTGGCGCCGCCTGCGTATGAAACGAAAAGCGCATACTCCCATGTGGCATCTTGTCTTTCGCGTTCATTGCTTATCAAGATAACATTTTGCCCGTTTCTTGACACCAAGCTGGCAAAGGGGGCCAGCATTCTCCACTCTGGACCCAGCACTATGGACGTGGGTTCAACCACAGCCGCGGCAGATGCATTTTAAACGGTATAGGCGAAATTTGAAGAGTACTAAACGTACTTTTAAATGACACCGTGTGGTGAAATGTCTTAACGACGACTTTTCGCAGCACCAATCGTCTGGCAACACAGAACCCTACTTTAGTTAAAGGCACACAAATACAATAATGCTCCGTATGTGTGCGTGTTGCGTGTTCAGCCATTTGTTTTTTTTTTCTTCTGTAGGCAATTACCTCGCTGTACATCGAGGTACTCAACTGTTCCCACTCTTGATTCGCCTCATGGTAAAACGGTGCACGTCGCGGTAGAGGTGAAACCGTCTCACAAAAGAAGGTGCAGAATGCCGCTTCTTCGTGGAACGATTCGGAACTTTGGCGCACTGGCCACTGGCACCATTATATACCTGCCTTACTTTCGACCATCGGCGCCGCCATCCACCCGAAGCGGCTCGGTGATGCCACAAGCAAAAAGTGCAACTGTCCGAAAGAGTTTACGGAATCCTTGTCATATCCTTTCCGATAGCTGGGCGACAAAAAACTGTATCGTGATAACGATCGCGTGGCCGCGACGAACACGTTTAGCTACGCCAATCAACGTAGGCCTATTTGCAGACTAGGTCATTGTTGCCTGCCGTCAGCCGGAAGTCAAGCCGAGCGCGATATTAAGCTTATAGCGCGAGCATATACCAAGAAATACAACGGCGCCACGTCCGAAAATGCTCTTTCCAGAAGTTATCACGAAAGCTTCATTTGCTATTTTGCCTGTAATGATAGAAGATGCATCATAATCATCATCAGCCTGACTACGTCCACTGCAGGACAAAGGCCTCTCCCATTTCCGCCAGTTAACCCGGTCCTGTGCTTGCTGCTGCCAATTTATACCCGCAAACTTCTTAATCTCATCTGCCCACCTAACCTTCGATCTCCCCCTAACTCGCTTGCCTTCTCTAGGAATCCAGCTAGTCACCCCTAATGACCAGCGGGTATCCTGTCTACGCGCTACATGTCCGGCCCATGTCCATTTCTTATTAATTTCAGCTATGATATCCTTAACCCCCGTTTGTTCCCTAATCCACTCTGCTCTCTCCTTGTCTCTTAAGGTTACACCTACCAATTTTCTTTCCATTGCTCGCTGCGTCGTCCTCAATTCAATCTGAACCCTCTTTGTAAGTCTCCAGATTTCTGCTCCGTAGCTAAGTACCGGCAAAATACAGCTGTTATATACCTTCCTCTTGAGGGAGAGTGGTAATCTACCTGTCATATTTTGAGAGTGCTTGCCAAATGTGCTCCACCCCATTCTTCTTCTTCTAGTTACTTCAATATCGTGGTTCGGGTTCGCGGTTATTACCTGCCCTAAGTAGACATAGTCTTTTACAACTTGAAGTGCACTATTACCTATCTCGAAGCGCTGCTCTTTTCTGAGGTTGTTGTACATTACTTTCGTTTTCTGCAGATTAATATTAAGACCCACCTTGCTGTTCTCCTTGTCTAACGCCGTAATCATGAGTTGCAATTCGTCCCCTGAGTTACTCAGCAATGCAATGTCATCGGCAAAGCGCAGGTTACTAAGGTATTCTCCATTAACTCTTATCCCTAACTGTCCCCATTCTAGGCTTCTGAAAACCTCCTGTAAGCACGCGGTAAATAGCAGTGGGGAGATTGTGTCTCCCTGCTTTACACCCTTCTTGATTGGTATTCTGTTGCTTACTTTATGAAGCACTATGGTAGCAGTTGATCCCCTGTAAATTTCATCCAGGATGTTTATATATACTTCATCAACGCCCTGATCCCGCAGTGTCTGCATGACGGCTGATATTTCTACTGAATCAAACGCCTTCTCGTAATCTATGAAGGCTATGTATAGTGGTTGGTTATATTCTGAGCATTTCTCTACAACCTGATTGATAGTATGAATTTGTTCGATTGTTGAGTAGCCTGTTCGAAATCCTGCTTGTTCCTTTGGTTGATTGAATTCTAATGTTTTGTTTAGTCTGTTAGCAATTACCGTTGTATATAGCTTGTATACTACAGAGAGCAAGCTGATCGGCCTGTAATTCTTCAAGTCCTTGTCATCTCCTTTTTTTATGTATTAAGATGATGTTAGCGTTCTTCCAAGACTCTGGTACTCTTCCCGTCAGGAGGCACCTCGTAAACAGGGTGGCTAGTTTTTCTAACACAATCTGTCCTCCATCTTTCAGCAGATCGGATGTTACCTGATCCTCACCAGCAGCTTTGCCTCATGCTCTCCAAAGCTTTTCTGACTTCTTCTATCATTACTGGTGGGGTGTCATCTGGGTTACTGCTAGTTCTTATAGTATTAAAGTCGTGGTTGTCCCGGCTACTGTACAGATCTCTGTAAAACTCCTCCGCTATTTTAACTATCTTAGCCATATTGGTAGTTACTTTGCCTTCTTTGTCCCTTAGTGCATACATCCGATTTTTGCCTATCCCAAGTTTCCTCTTCACTGATTTGACGCTCCCTCCGTTTTTCAGAGCGTGTTCAATTGTCTCCATGTTATACCTTTTTACATCGGATACCTTACGTCTATTAATCACCTTCGAAAGCTCTGCCAGTTCTATTTTGTCTGTTGTACTTGAGACTTTCATGATTTGACACTTCTTAATGAGATTCTTCGTTTCCTGGAAAAGCTTGCCAGTGTCCTGTCTAACTACCCTGCCTTCAACTTCCACTGCACACTCCGTAATTATACTCGTCAAATTATTATTCATTCTGTCTACGCTAAGGTTGGTTTCCTCACCAAGAGCCGAGTACCTGTTCTGAAGCGACACTCTGATTTCCTGTACTTTTCCTCTCAATTCTAGCTCATTGATTGGCTTCTTGCGTATCAGTTTCTGTCGTTCCTTCCTCAAGTCTAGGCGAATTCGAGATAGAAGATTATTATTATTATTATTATTATTATTATTATTATTATTATTATTATTATTATTATTATTATTATTATTAATATTATTATTATTATTATTATTATTATTATTATTATTATTATTATTATTATTATTATTATTATTATTATTATTATTATTATTATTATTATTATTATTAAGCTGCGATCATTCGCGTCTCAAAGAGCTTTTTAAACAAAGCCGGGCTAAGCAACAGCTTTAGTAACACGTCTTTGCCACCATTAGCCGGCCGACAACCTGATGATTTAGTCAACTACAAACCTGGAAGTTTTGTCCAGCGATCTATATAGTGCACGAAATATGCAACAGGGATCACGTGCCTGCCGTGGACATCTACGACCGTGTCGCCGCCGCGTTGAAGTGCCTTGCGAGGCTGTGTGGTGACAGAGAATAGCGCTATCAAAGGCAACGAGAACACCGTATTCGCTCGTTTCGTAAGGTTACCATGACTACCGCGACAGGCGACTTCGGTGAAGAGAAGAAAATGATGTAATTATGGGCAGACTGCGCTTTCTAAAAAACTTGAATTTATGTGTCCAATTCCGACGTGAGGGTTGACTTCAGGTAGTGGAATCTGGTAAAAGACGCGTGTTACAATCGAAGTAACTTGAAGGCAGATGCCACAATCTTGTATAATACTGCAGGTTATGACCGTATTTTTCTTATAAGGAAATGTGGAGGAGAGAGAGTTCCGTATTGAGAGAATTCTACATGTGAAAAATAAATCTACACGGCAGGTTACGCTTTGTGACACGTCACTGGTTCGTGACATTGTACACACGCATGGAACAGTTCCGCGGAATATTAGCCCGAGGCCATCGAATTTCGGCCGTCTGGAAGAGGCCACTCTTCTCCAAGTTGTGTAATATATTGTATGCCAATTACGATACGACAATGTAGATGGATCCGCTGTATCAGGCAAACCTATTCGCGAGGCTTCGCCGAATTCTGTCTTCAACGCGACGACATAAATGTTGTATTGGTAAGTGTGTTTGGACTTTCGCGGATACCTGGACCACCGCGCGGTCACACGCCACCTCTACACAGTCGCGTAACTCACCGCGATGACATTGGCGGCCCGATTCACCACGTCAGTCTGCAACGCGAGCACGTGGTACCCGTCTGATCTCACGTACCATAGCATTATAAGCTTTGCCGCCTCTTATACGGTATCCTCGGGGTATGTACACATGCGCTACCTGGAGTCTGTCACCCTTGCCGCGCAGCTCTGGGATGATGTCCAGGACCCAAGAGTTCTGGCCCCTGACGTACTCTAGGATCAGTTCGACGTGCTTCATGCCAGCAAAGCGCCAACACATGGAGACGTAGTTCTGTACCAGTCGCATGGGGCCCTGTGCGAATGTTTGTAGTGACAGACAGTCAGTAAGCATCAGCACAGGATCTGCTGTATCATATATGACAATGCCACACTGTAGTGCGCGTTTACGGAGAACACGGTTGGAAGAAATACTGAAGCAACGCTACCTTTATAATCGGACAAACAAGACACGCATGGTACAAGTATCATGTGTGAGAATACCAATCTGTATATGCTACAGGTTCCACCGAGAGAACATGCATTGAGAGGGACATGCATTCAACCAATATTTGAGTATACTTTTCTTACGTGGGCGGTCACTGTTCAGGATATACGTAACATAGCAACAGTCAAGTATACGCTGAACTCGCATAATTTGCGCTCCCCTAATATTTTGCCAGCTTTGCTAAAACGAAAGATATTCTCTTGCATATTTTGCGCTCCCCGACCCTCCCCAAGCCAGCTCGTGGGCGCACGCACGAAGATAAGTTCCAATCCTTCGGACGGCCGCGCACCTTGCCAAGCAGACTAGCGCAGTCAAACGAGCTGCGAGTACACCGTCCATTCTTTTATGTACTCCCCCCGAACTACGGCCTCCAGATTACCATGCACGAACACTCAAACCTAGCTGCAGATAGGTCGGTGGAACTGTTCGAGCGGTTTCCTCCCTCTATTGTTTTATCTCTACCTCCTCGAGAATGCACGCTCGCGTCACGGCACAAACAACTTTCTGCATCGGAGGCGTGCGGGCTCTGAACCCTGTCGCACTAACCGTTCCCCTCGTTCTCTGCGTCCGCGCTGCAACGCACATTTGGTCCATTTCCGAAGTTTAGGTTTCGCCATCCGGCCAACGCGGTATAATGGTTCCCTTGCGATGTGCTACAGTAATTATATATACGGCTAAACTGAAGCCCGCTGTTCTAAATTTCGCAGAATAAAACGGGAACCGTGCCACTGCAAAGCATTTCAAAGTGGCGTACTTCAACGTGTGACGATCGGCGCTATCGGTAAATGAGAAAATAGAGGATTGCGCGCTTTCTAATGCAAATTTCTTGCCACTGAAGAAGGCCTTTTCGATTATGTGCGAACGCCTATGTCACCCGGTGCGGCCGTGTCGTGGGACCTAGTTTCTCCCACGATTGTGGCGAAGAGCTTCATAACAGGTCATTTGAACGCACTCGACAAAATCAAGGACGATGCTTTTTGGGAGGGCGGTTGCAGCGGCCTTGACGATAACTCCCAATCGGGTTTCACGATCATTGATTCCCACTAGATCGAGCGTGACAGGATCGGACTGGTTAAAGTGCGTGCTGATTCTTCTAAATTAACAAGACCATTTCGTTCCTGCTCCAGTTTTTTAGACGTATATATTGCGCGCGTTGGAACTGTCGCAAAATATTCCGTATGCCCTCGTACGCCCTCGCGAAATCCCCGCGCAAATTGCGCATCCCCTCCTCAGGGCCCCAAAATTGCGAGAAAAAAATGGGGCGCGAAGTATGCGAGTAAATACGGTAGAACACTCAGGACGGGCGTATCTTCTAGGGGTTTTCGAACACCGTATTGACACTGTGCCTCCTATAGTGTAAGTCGTGTTCTAAAAGACACGGGCATACGGCACATCTAGTTGAGTACAACATGATAAAAACTACGCACCTCCAAACGGCCCCTTAGAGGGCGTGGCCTATGACTGCGTTGATGTGCCGCCACATTTCAGTGCAAATAGGGTATATACAATGCAGTTTAGCACGCTCTTAAGTTTAATGGCATCATCACTTTGGGTGCCACGCTGCAGAGTAGAACACGCACGATGGGACAGGCAGTATAAGTTAAAGGTCGAACGTCATCGTTACTACGGGAACACAGGCTACAGCCCCAGTATATTGTGTTGTAGAACACTCACTTCGAAGCGGCTCCTGAGCAGGGCGCGGCAGAGGGCCGCCCTTGTGCGGGGCCACCGCTCGCCGAAGTTGGAGACGGCGTCCGCCTGCTCCTCGCCGTACAGCGGCACGGGAGGGGGCTCCGAGACTCCGGGAAACAGCCGGACCAGGTCGTTGATCCGGTTCTGGAACCAGTCGCGGTTTTTGTTGGAGCCGTGGGCGCGCGGCAGGTTACACAGCAGCACGCCCAGGAGCACGTACAAGTCGTCCATGGTGGCCCGGGGCTCGGAGTCGGCGCCCAGGGCGCGAAGCTGGCGTCGCACGAAGGCACCGCTCACGCGCACCTCGTCCAGCCAGACGCCGTCGACGTCGCTGGCGCGGACCACCTGTCCAAGATGAAGGGTAGGATGCACACGTACCTCTGCACACTATGTGGCGTTGTTTTCATGCTGAACTGTAGTAGATCTCGCTACACTGTCCATCTTACCAGTACTTGGAGGACGTTTGAGCTTCACTTTCAAGACGTAACTTCAAGAGATCACGTGGTTAATGGGAGAGTATTGGGTGGAGGGGCCACAGCTGTGGCAGTGCAGCTGTTACTTCACATATGTAGATGGTCGATATATCTGGAGACCTCCAATACCTCATTCGTGTCGTAGTTTTGAAAGTAAAACCTCGGTTATTTGTCACACACTGAAAGCTCTAACAGTGCACCCAAGGTGCGTTTTACCGAAATCAACACCATTTAGGGGGCCTGGTTCGACTGTAGTTGGCACGTACTACGCGGGTGGCCTGAATCTTTATTTGTGTCTATACCATACCCTTACGATCATCAAAACTCCAGTGAATTCTTTATCGGGAAAGAAAAAAAGAAGCCTTGGAGGACGTTTGAGCGTCGCTTTCAAGACGTAATTATCCCCCACCCCCTATCCTGCGAAACATTTTGCCTACACCCCTGCTCCAAACCAGCACTTATTCGAATCCGGTGGCCTACATCTATTATTATCTAGGCCAATACGATGGCAAACGCCATGATATTGCACGAGTAAGCAAACACACCGAACGAAGAAAGTAAAAGTTGCTCACATAATGCACTTAAATTTACGCAATAAAACAAAACTAGCCTAGCTTACATTGCTTTGAACTTTACTCCATGCAGTAGTGCGCGACATGCCAGGCCGGTATCCAAGTGGGAAGTGGGGGAGGTAAGGGGCCACGTGACTTCGGCAATGTGGCGGCCTCCCATGATGGCTACAGTAACTATGCAGTCCACAATGCTTAGCCAATGGCCGTGAATTTCGGTATATAGCGTTGTAAATCTGGTATGTGACATAATTTGTAGGAAGAGGAGGGGGTATTTCCAGGCTGATTTCATAACTGTAAATTCAAAAACGCTGTGCTACCTAACGTTATGATTTTTGGCCCACGTGTCCTGAGTAGCTTCGACGATATGGTATTGCACTAAATTCAGAGAAAACCATGGTGCCACGATCATTCAGCCACCGTGGGAATGATGGGTAGAAACAAAAGTTTGCCTAGTCTTTGTATTGTCGCACGCTAGCCCTAATTCACGCAGAACGCACCGCTTCGTCTTGCCACTCTCCACAACCACGCCTAACCCTCTTCTTCCCACATAAGCAACCCCCCCAACGCCCCGTCCTGATGATGATGATGATGGTGTCATCATAAAGTGACCTCTCTCGGCGAAATCTCGATGATGATGATGGTGGTGGCGGCGATGATGATGATAATGGTGCCGTCACGTAACGCCCTCTCTCGGTCACTCTCACAGTATACACTCTCAGGCTTCAAACGCACTTCTGGCTTTCTTTGTTGTTGTGTTTTGGTTTCAGATTTTAAACAAATGAACTGTTGGAAATTTTGTAAGCCGATTTGAACTGGTAAACCAAAACGATCAAGGCTTTTAAGGGAAACTGCTGCACATTTGCTTAACTTCTTGCCACGAAGCAGATTCAGAACAAACGGTGCCAAGCTGAGCCTGAAGAACGAAGCCTTATCGACCAATCCGTCTGCTATCTATCATTCCCGTGCAGTCTGAACCACCACTCGTTCCAGTTCTCGCAGATATTGTAAGGTCCGAGTTCCCTGTAGTACGAGGTCACGACCTCCTACAACCGATCGGCACTGTTCAGTGACCCCGCTGAAGCAGTCTTCGGGGCCACTTCGACGTGCGTGACGCCATCGTTCACCTGTTCGTATCCATCCTCGCAGACGAGCTTGAAGAATCCCAGCATGTAGGCGACCGCGGTGGCTGCGTCTCGACTCCGAGTCACCAGGCGCACGCAGTTCGGGTCGAACTGCTGTCCCGGGAACACGAACACCGCCTGGCGGACGAACAGCGAACGCGGCGGGGCGCCGTCAGCGGTCGCCATGGCTTCGCACCCGTGTGTGCGTTGCGTAGTCTAGCTGCGTTTGGAGCAGGACGGTGAGGGGAGCTATTGTGGAAACTTCCTGTAATGAAATACCCCTTGATCTGTAAGTGGTAATTTACTGACCGAAAAGTATAAAGTTGGATGCCTTGTAAACTACAAGGTGTGTTTGGCGAACGGCTGTTGCCATGCGTCTGACTATGCTATGGTTTCTGTTATCTTCAATTATTTTTCTTTGCTTCGTGAAGTATCTCAGTGATCACGTGATTGATGGGAGAGTATTGAATGGAGAGCCCACAGCTGGGGAAGTGCAACTGTTACTATGCACCGCTGCGCAGAGGGTAAGGCTCAGAGGCCACAGCTGGCACCGTTTCAGGGCACGGATCGACGGATGGTCTCCCTGAGTGTGCGACAACAAATGCTCTCGCTTTCAAGAAGAAACATCAGACCTCACTAAGTACGGTATACCCCGCAGACGACGATTGAGGGCGCCACTCCCAATATCTCTTTCGCTTGCGCATACTCCATTCTAGCTAAAATAATAAAAATTACATATTGGTTTTAACGTATAAAAACCAAGCTATGATCATGCAAGACGCCACAATGTAGGGCTCTGGACATTGAGATCATCTGGTGGTTTTCAACGTGCGCTGACGTCACACAATACACGGGCCTCTACCCCTTTGCCTCCATCGGTATGTGACCTCCGCGGCAGGAATCGAAACCGCAACCTTCGGGGCAGCAGCCGAGCAGCCTAACCGCTACACCACCGCGGCGGACCCTCCGCTGTAACAATGAATGGTGAATTTGCACAACAGCGTGTGGTTTCAATCTAGCTCTAAACTACTTCCCTTTGTACTGTGTCGGTAAGGGACGCCCCCATATAGAGCTTCGAGAGATTTTCCCCATGTCGTGACGCGTAGCCAAGCGTAGCGAACGAGGCAGGTATAGGCTTAATCCGCGAAAAAAATGTCAGCGAACAGGCGCGGCTACGAACCCATACGGTAGGCCACAACACAACTATGCTTTGACTCCCCTGCCGATGCCCCAAATTTCCACGCAATAATAAAAATCCGTAGGCGATTTACCTGTAATTATTAAATGTAGTAGTATTTTAATTAGGGTATGGTGGCAACTTAAAACTAGTTAACAGTCAGCCCGTTACTCGTAAACCATTGTGTGCACACGTAGACAGGAGCAAAGAGTCGCGTGGTGCACACGTCTCTGCGCTGTGTTCTACGTCCGTTACATGCTACAGTTTACCAGTAATGACCAACCAACAAGACCAAGTTCGAATCCCCCTAAATTCAGCCCAGTTTTATTAACGCAGGCTAAAAGTAGGCTGTTCGAGCAGTGCCGGCAATGGGGAGCAGTTTCCACTACTATACATTACGGCCCAAACGCGACAAACTCTAACGCAAAGCTTCGCGCCAGTAGACAGTTATACTTTCCAGTTAGCGTGCACGGGGTTAATGGAATGGCGTTACCGCGCAGCGAAGCAGGTACAATTACCTAGAAGGAGGTTATCTAATTGGTGGCTAAAGTCAAGGCACAAGTGAAAATTAAACCCTTCACTGCAAAGTACCAGTCCTCAACTTCACTATTTAAAGGGAAAAAAAAAGATTTGTCTAGTTTTTGGTTCACTAAGCATTAGGCCTAGGTGGCGTACGCCGCCACCCGCTTCAAAGGGTACAGCCATATCAATCTATCCGGACGAGACGGTGATGTCGCGGGCGTTTACGTCAGCGTCGCAGAGCGTGAAGACACGTTCATTGGTTTATGACCACCGAGAGACCGAACTGCGTCGCAGTTTTATCACCGTGTGACAGCTTCGGAACACGGCTACATGGAGCCGCTGCATCGCTGGAATGACCGAATACCGAGATGTTACGCTGGCTATGCCGCTTCCAAGGACACGTCAGGTATCGCTATCCGTACCTCAGGCAACGCTGCCAAGACTTGGGCGTCGCCCATAGCCTGGTGACATCTATGGGACACCGGGTGCTCACCTCGAAGAAAGGTTCTCTTGACGTGTCGCGCTCAGGAACAGACCACCCAAGAAGTGGCCGGCGGACCAAGCGGATGAGCGGTCCAAGGTCCTCGCGTCGAGCGCCAACGAAGACAACGGTTCCGGGTTGAGCTCGAGAGACTAGTGCGCGTGCAGCGTGGAGCACGATCGCGAGCTAACACGAGCAGGCGTTCGACACGTTTGCACGTGCTTTGTTTTTCTGTTTGTTTGTTCGTTCGTTTTTTTGTTTGTCTGTTTATTTGTTTGTTTGTTCGTTCCCGTAACGTTCTGCCACACAGCCACTCTGGGAGTTGGCTGAAATTTCGTATTTTATTATTTGGCAGATAAAATACGGCTTTTCCGATAATGCTGTACCAACTCGACCACCTCTAGTTTCCGGGTGCCCTATTCGTGATGAGGTTCAGGTGACACCAGAAAAAAAAATAAACGCCCAGCCCCGAGTCCAAAGTTCGGCAGTCACCGTCGCTGGACGGCATTGGAAGTCCGGACGGAAGGCGGCGCCGAGTGTACAAAGTTCCTCGTGGCCAGGAACTTCGTTGGTCAGTTGCCAGAAACTTCGTTGGTCGTGGCCAGTTGGTCGTCGTCTCGACCAACTAGCCAGACGCAAAGGTTCTCGACGGATACGACGCAACCGTCGCCTTCGAGGTTCGAGGAGGGACGCGCAAGACAGCCCACTTCAAGAAGACCGGCTTGCCAGGAGGCCAGTGGCTGGTAGATGCTGTGGAGGGCGAGGAAGCGGGCCCAAAACGTCACCGACGTCCTTCTCTTTGCCGTACCGGAATCTTAAGGACGCCTTTATCGCGACGTGGTCGCTCGACCACTGAAGTACAGCACAGTACAAAAAAGCGATGACAACCCGACAAAGCGTCACCTATCGATGTTGCGCAGTTCTAAGATATCACAATGCAGATGCAGTCCTTTATTTTTGTTTTCTTTAGAAAAATAACTATTATGTGTCGTCTATTAAAGATTGCGTATTAGTCTAGTTTGTCGTCACCGTATTTCTTGCTGGCGAGAAACCACATACAGTGCTCCGGCAGGTATACAAGTTGCCCCATAAGAATCGTCACCCAAGCACTCTGTACTTATAACGGGTGGCACCGGCGTTAGCTATCACTGCGTTAATGGCTTCGGTTCGTTAGTCACCGGTCCAAAGGTCAGGCTTGGTGTTTGTCACCCATGCGTTCCACGCATTCTCAGCAGTCCACTTGTTTCCTGGAACTAGAATAATAATGTGACGCCAGGCGTGACCAGCGCCACCAGCGTTCGTCGGAGTGGGCCGGTGGCGACCGGCGCAAAATGCGACATGTTGCATTTCGCGCCTAAGATGCTGCTTAGACAGCACCGCGTCTGCCTCTCTTCGTGACGGAGGGACACCGCGTGCGCTCAAACGCGCATGCGTCAAAGCAACGCAGCGTGGCGCGCGCCTGCGAGGATATGGCATGCAGATCCTCAATGAAGGCCAGTGGGCAGCACCACTGATCACCACGCCATAAAACGAACGCCGGCGCGCACGCGCGCTGGTTCACGTCGAAGTGTATTGGCGCCTTGAATGCGGCGTCTATTAATGTTGCCACATGACAGGCATCTCATGATTATCATGTTTACACCAGTCACATACCTTCGTCGTCCATTCACCTGACGTAATACCAAATTTCGGCATATATGAAGGCAGCGAAACGGCCGCGAGCGCATCATGAGTGTGGGACGTTGTCATGTTGTTACTTGACATGCATGTCATGATCATCCCGTTTAGACGTGTCATTTACCTATGTTGCTCATTCGCGTAACGTAATACCGAATATGGTACATGTGAAGCTAAGGAAACGGCTGCGAGCGCATCATGAGCGTAGCATGAAGTCATGTTTTTGCATGACACGCATTTCATGATTACCATGTTTGCATCGTCACATACCTTCGTCATCTATTCATGTCCCTTGATACCGAACTTGGTTCATGAGAAGCAAGCGAAATGGCTGCTAGTGCATCATGTGCAAGGCATGTAGTGACGTTACATGAAATGGATCTCATGTTTATCGTGTTTGCACCAGTATCATACCTTCGTCATCCATTCACGTCCCGTAATACCAAATTTGGTATAAGTGAAACTAGCGAAACGGGCGCCAGCGCATCATGAGCGTGGCATGTAGTCATGGTGTTACATGACACGCATGTCATGATTTTCATGTTAGGGTAAGTTGCTTGTATTCCCGATGCAGCCATGTCATACCATACCAGTTTTGCAACATATGTGAATGAAACCACCGCAAGAGCAGCAAGACCTTGACATGTAAATGGTGACATTTATTATATACATGTCATGATTTTCATGTTATAACTAGTCAGTTATGTTCGTCATACAGTCATGTTACACCATACGAAGTTTGTTATCGATACCAGTATCCAAACGGCCAGGAGAGCGAAAGGTCGTAGGCGGATAGATAGATAGATAGATAGATAGATAGATAGATAGATAGATAGATAGATAGATAGATAGATAGATAGATAGATAGATAGATAGATAGATAGATAGACAGACAGACAGACAGACAGACAGACAGACAGACAGACAGACAGACAGACAGACAGACAGACAGACAGACAGACAGACAGACAGACAGACAGACAGACAGATAGATAGATAGATAGATAGATAGATAGACAGACAGACAGACAGACAGACAGACAGACAGACAGAAGATAGATAGATAGATAGATAGATAGATAGATAGATAGATAGATAGATAGATAGATAGATAGATAGATAGATAGATAGATAGATAGATAGATAGATAGATAGATAGATAGATAGATAGATAGATAGATAGATAGATAGATAGATAGATAGATAGATAGATAGATAGATAGATATGGTCAAAGTTGCCGAAGTTCGCAAAGAAATGCTTCGCATTTATTATCCTCGCTTGTTGGACATCTCTTCATAGGTCTATTGCAAAACTAACCTAAAAAATGG